CCCCCACCCTGTAACTTTCTGTAACTTTCACTTTTCAAACAGTTTTTTACATTTTCTTGTTCATCTATGTCAAAGCTGTTGAAATAAAATGCTTTTGTAATTACCTGTGGACTTTTTATTAGTTTTAATCACGTTTAATCCAGCCCATTGAAATACAATGTTAGAATCTTCAATTTACACCCGCAGTCAATAACTTGCCACATTTTCGTTGGCTAACTCTAAGGCAATTTTATGTGAACAAGTAGCTCATAATAATTTCACAGAGGAAGTCCAAGTTTACAATGTATCAATCCTATGTTCACATAAAATAAGGTAGAGTTAGCCAACGAAAACGCGGCAAGTTATTGACTGCGGGTACATTGTAAATTTTCACATTGTATTTCAATGGGGTGGATTAAACGTGATTAAAACTAATAAAAAGACCACAGGTAATTACAAAAACATTTTATTTCAACAGTTTTGACAAAGGTGAAATAGACAATGTAAAAAAATGTTTGAAAAATGAAAGTTTCAGGAAGTTACAGGATGGGGGGGGGTATACTACAAAAGTACCGAAAATTAAAATCATTTTCTAAAAGGTTAAAATTTGAAAGCCTCCCTGACACGAATTAAGTTCATGCCTAAGCACTCCTATTTTCTAGCACATAAATCCATACAGTGACATTTAAGTGTTATGATTTGTGATAAAACATGAACAAACCATTATTTTAACAATTAAGGTCCATTGTATTCAGCTTGTACGTGGGGGCTCTCTATTCACAATGTAGTGCCAGACGCAAGGTAGAACCAGCTGGATAGCTCAGGCAGTAGAGCACTTGTCCTGTTAGCGAGAGGTCCCGGGTTCGATCCCTGGTCTGGTAGGTTATTTTTCTACACTTCCCCCAAAAAGGTGCACAACAATCTTACCTCTCTCAGCTATGTTACATCACCTATTTAAGTAATGTTATTTCTTCCTTTTTAAACTTGATTGCAGTTAATTCAGAGGGCAATAAAAAATGGTGACAAGCACGGACCCACAATGGAGCTGGCAGACTTCTGGCTACTGGTGAGTAAACGGGTCGATACTGTACCTAAGTAGCATTGAATAATGAAGTGGCACTGCATTTGTTGGGATGAATTAAAATATTTCCACTGTATATAGATGTCACTGTGCTGTGTGCCAGTTTAAAGATGTTGCTGTAATGTTGTATTATCTTTTCTGATTGGTAAATGCAGTGTACTTAGTGAACCTGAACTGGGATCTAAATGAAATAAGTGTCCTCACCCCCCCCCTCCTCTCCTTCGCCACATACACACACACACACACACACACACACACACACACACACACACACACAAAGCAAACTTAAATATTAAGATACCTTTGAGAATAGCTTATATGAGCAATTAGTGTGTACATTTTAAGTGAGATTCCCTGTTCCAAATTTCTTATTCGAAATTTCTGTGTGTATTATCAGTCCACTGCAATCTTTAGAACTACATAAAAAGTGCCTCAACTTTTATTTCTGCCATTTTGTAAAATCTAAAACATATTACATTTCAGGAAAAAGATCTAATTCACAAGCTGTTCAAGGTGTTAGTACCAAGGTTTGAGAAATGTCCCACAGCCTTCACTAAAATGTACCGACTGCCGTATGTATATCCAGGCAAAGGCAGAGAAATGGGCCTGCTGGAACTGAAAGGTGGGGAAAGGCCTGTGTTTTTTGTTTTTTTTTTAATAAACAAAATATATTAATTTCCTGTAACAATTTTCAACCTCATTCCGTTTTATATAAGCCAAATGCTGATGTGTACTGTACTTGGCCATTAAAATGTGTTTTTCTTTTTTATTTTGAAAAAATTATTATTGATATAGTTCCCATTTAAATTAAGAATCTTCTAGTTTCTTGGTCGTTTGTTCCTTGTCCATTGGGCAAATACTGGTTACATAGGGCTCTGGTGACAATCTTCAGGTTACATTCACACAAACCTCTGCAACCAGTTTGACCAGTATGTTACTCATAGATAAAATGCATTATTTTATGTACTTTTATTATCTTTTATGTCATAAACAGGGAATCCGTGGCCACCCGTCCTTCCTGAAGCCATTGACAAGAGCAAACACATCAACAATGTTCTGCTCAACGCAGCGAGGCAAGACTTTCGCATGGAGCAGTACAAGTCCATGGACATGAGCAGTGACGGATGGCACAAGGAAAGTGTCAGTCAAATGTCTGCCGCCATGGATACTGTTGCTAAGGGGAGTGGTTTAGAGGAAACTGTTACAGACACTGAAAGCTTACTTTCTGATGAGATAAGGGAAGAAAAAGAAGCACAAGAAATGCGAGAGCTGCAAAGAAAAATTGACAGTTTGAAGAATCGTGGTAAAAAGAAACACCGAGATGAAGATGATGATGACGATGATGATGGGACTTATGTCTAGAATAGAATTAAGTGACACACCAACATTATGATTATGAAAAAAAATAATTCTCACTGTTAAGAGATGTTAAGTACATCAGTTTAGAAAGATTGGTAGAAGTTTGGGTCCATAAGGATCACAGAATATGTCCTCTTTTGACATAAAATGAAAAGTGTTCAGAGAGATTTTTGTCGATAATTTGAAATGCTTGGTTCTCAGTTATATTACTGACCCAGCTTAGAATTTGTTGAAAAAAATTGCTAGGAAGCAGCAGTGCAAAATGCAAGTTATTGTTATCACTGTATCAGAAGAGCTACTGGAGTAAAAATAAAAATTCATTAAGATTCCTCTGTTCTCCTGTGTAATGATACAAAATGAGTCCAATACTGGTTAAATATTGCACTATTTATTACTTATATATTTAGTACTTTCCAAATTTATTATAAATTTACAGTAAATATTGATCTAAATGTTTTAAAAGTGTAAATATTTATTGGTTTGTAATTATAAACTGCCAATAAATAAGCTAATACAATAATTCCTTAGATGTCAATTGCAGAATGCAACAGTTGATAAAACAGGTGTATAAAATGTAAGTATACTGGAAAAAATGTGACAAATTAATGCAAAACTAATAATAAGGTGAGTAATGATAATATTAATCACTGATACTTCCTGAACTGAACAAAAAAAGAAAAAAAAACCCAAACTTCATTACTGAAAAACTGAATTGTGGCCAATGATTTTAATCGTGTTTACAAATTGTGAAATGATATAAGATTAATATTACACTAATTATTGTAAACTCGTGACAAGAGAAAGACTAAAATAGCTAAATTAAAAATATCTGGGTACACATGTCGGACCAGTTTGACCTGGCTTGCGAAAAACCTGATAATTAAAATTTAATGAAATACACATTATAGGCACAACTACCTACTTGCCTGATTGGTAAATATTTTCTGATCAACTTGAAATGATAATTATGAAGAATAAAATTATTTATAACACATGCACTGGCAGAGAATACAATAACACATATACTATGGTAAGTCATGGTAACACTCAGCACCTTGACAAGATATCACTTCAACAAATATCAGGACATCTTAGACCCCATTCCCATAGATATTTAGATCGATCTATCCCCCTGGGGAGTCTCACTAGATTGGTGTCAGCCTAACCGGCTTAAATGCCTGTCCCACCTACTAAAAGCTGTAAGGGGGTAATTAACTGTCGTGTGCGCTCGGCTGACAGCAATTTAGCGTGAACTCCCAGGGAGTTAGGTCGATCCAGATATATCGATCTAAATCTCTGGGAATGCACTCTTATTCTGCAACACCTACATACCCGCACCTTCCTTTTGGTTTATTTTCTTCACCTATTCTAAACTCCAATAAATCCTAATCAAAACCTTATACTATACCATATTAAAATAGAATAAATTCACAAAAACAAAACCCGTTTGGTCTGACTAAAAAAGATGCACCAATTTGATAATTGTATGATATTTGAGATTGAGGAGTTTTTGTTTAAAGTTGATTTGCATTGGCTTCTTGTCCTCATAAGTAAGTCTACTAGCAAATAAATAAATAAAATAAGACAAATTTTATCATTAGCTTTAATGCAAGTAGTAGCTGCACATGAGATGAATACAATGAAAGAGCAAATAATAAAGCATCTTCACTTGATCAAAGGCAAGAATCTGATATGCCAGGATTTACCCACAGTGAAAAAAATAAAATACAACTGTTAGTGCCATACATTTTCTCTTATCACAGATCCTGTTGACAAGTTGATTAAAACACTGTCCTAGCACAATACTTAGGCTAAATAGTAAAATATGCACCCTTCTTAATCTCAAATCTGACAAATATACCAATACTTTGACAATGAGCTCCATTCGACCAGTGAGGAAAGTTTATCTAATATATACTCTAAATATACATGGGAATACATTTTGGGGATGTTTATGTCATTACACTTGATAAAAAAATTTTGACAATGTCTAAAGCTAATCTGAAAGTTTTCAGAAAAATAAAACTCTACGCCAAGAAAATTCAGTAATTTCTGCCATAAACCATCAGACTCTTTCCTGAACTCTCCACTAATCATCAAAGAGTAAAAGTACTCACCTTTATATAACTGAACATTTTTGGTAGAAAGAAAAATATTCTAAATAAAAAATGAGCACATAAACAAATCATTTTTCAAAAGATTACATATTTCCATAATTGAAGGTGTAATGAGTTGCGTTTCTTCACCTGAATGAGCACAGAAACAGCATGACAAGCTTAACCTGACTTACTAATAGTTCATTCATTGTTACAGTGGCCTATTTGTTATATTTTATAGGGTCTAATTCCCTTTTACTCGATTATAAATGGATTAAGAGATCATGATCCAAACACCTCCCTAATCCTAGCAATACACAGGTCAACAGATCATGATCCAAACACCTCCCTAATCCTAGCAATACACAGGTCAACAGATCATGATCCAAACACCTCCCTAATCCTAGCAATACACAGGTC